GGCGCCGAGTTGCATCATCTGCACCGGGACGCGCGGAGCCAGGCCATCCCACGTGCCCGGCCGTGCTCCGGGTCTGAGCGGTGGGTCCCTTCCCGCCTCCAGCGCCCTTCCCTCTGCCGCCGGCAGCCCTCCTTTCCTCGAGTCCAGAGGGCCCTGAAGCTCAGAAATAGGTGTCCAGTTGGCCCGGCCCCCACCCCTGTCCTTGGGTCTGCGGAGCGAACCGTGCTGGCCCGGCGCGCCAGAGCGCGGAGCCGGACCCCGGGATGTCGGGGAGACTGTGTTGGTGTAGATGGCTGACTTTAAGGTGCCTTTGGGTGGGAACAGACTTTCGCACATTGCTCTTACCGCAGGTGAAGCGGGGTGGGCGTGTGAGGTGGTGCTGGCGGGGTACCGCGTGTTACTGGGGGTCCTTATCCCGTATGCGAGTCCAATAACAAGGACACAGTTTTGAGGAAAAGGAAAAGGAATGTTTATTGCTTTGTCAGCAAAGGAGAAACACAGGGGACTCCAGTCCCCAAGGCTGAGATTCTGCCCATTGGGGGACCAGGGCTTTTCAAGCCGAGACTCAAAGGCTACTTCCACGTGTTCTCCATCCGGGCTGTAATTCACTTGTTAATTTGGGAGATAATCATTTCTGAGATAATTCTGTTCCTTCCCCAAAGTCAGGATTACTTCATTCGCATGGTGGGTGTGTGCTCAGACACCTCTGCCAGGGTGGGGAGGAAAGTGACCCTCTTTTCCCTGAGGTTAGGGAGGAGCAGGGAGAGAGGAACAGAAAGGGATATAGCTCTGTTGGTCGAGTGCTTATCTTGCCTGCACAAGGCCATGGGTTCAATCCCCAGCACCAAAAAAAAAAGAAACAGGTCCATTTTAAAAATCAGTTGCAGCGGCAGAGCAGCAAGGGCCAAGTCAAAGCCTAAAAAGTGGACACTGTTACATTTCCCCACTGACAGTTTTACACTTCATTTCAATGAAATAATCGGTGACAACATCTCCAAGCAACTACCTGTTGAAAGAGGGCAAATTGGGGGAAATAACCGGAAGTTTTTGTTGTCTATCAGGTGGGGCATGAACAGTGAAGGGCATTCAGCATCTCAGCAGTCCAGAGATCCAGAGTGGTCGATACCTGGACAAGGTATCCACAGGGCAGGGATCCTGCGAAGACAACAATAGAGCTTTCCTTTTTTGTACACAATTAGTGCAGAAGCAGTTAGTACTTCAACCAGTCTCTGAAAACCGTGAAGACAGTAACTCATAATCGTATCTGTGAAAAACAGATCCAGTTTACAATGTAGGAGGTTAGGAAGATTTGTAGATCTAGGTCAGCAGGCCCAAATTAACTCAGGACAGACTGTAGCCTAGAGTGCTTTGGAACATCACTATTGGGCACTGTCACACAGAACCCTTTCTGTATAGCCAACAGCTTTACTTACTTTGGGTAGGGCTGACACCATCTCCAGTTACTTCCTTTTAAAAGTCCCTGTAGGACTGTGCTTTAGGCCATACTGCCTCTCCTGCCAAAACTGACCCTGTTCCTATCCACTCTTAAGAGATGCCTCAGGGATCGCTCTTGATGATAAAGCCTCCTGCCCTGAGCCACGTGCCAGGATGGGTCCAGGTCTGGTTGACCCAAGTGGCTTCTCTTGGAAGCATCAGGGACACTTCCCTCTCCAGTAACCCTCCTCTTTACAAGTGTGCGCTGGTTGGCTTCCTGTCCTCTGGGTCCTCTTGGTCTCCCCATCCCCAGATCAGGTGACTCACTAGAGTTGCAGGGCCCAGAGAGGGGTCCTGGCTGACCTCAGAGGGCAAGGGCCAAAGTGTTGGCCGCTTTTCCTTGGCCCTTTCACTCCCTTGACTTGGGTCTCCCAGGTCCACCAGTGTTACAAAGGGAGTAACAGGATATAACTTCAGTATGATTTTACAGACACCCTCTTCATTCAATTAGGATCACTATTGGTCTGCAAGTCAGCATTACACACTCTGCTCTGTAGGTGGTGACTTATTATCTCATACCAGACAGGTTGTTTGATTAGAAGCAGTATCTCTGCAAAGCACTAACCAGCAACAGTTATAAAGTTTACAAGGAAAATAAAAAATGAAATTAACAAAGCAAAAACATTCAGTTTGTGTAATAGCTATGAGCCAAAAAAACGATTTTTATAATTTTAAGCCTTGTGCATTATATCTTGTTAATTTTGAGATCACAGTAATCTTTTTATTTTGGTACCAGGTTGAACTCAGGGCCACTTGACCACTGAGCCACGTCCCCAGCCCTATTTTGTATTTTATTCAGAGACAGGGTCCCAATGAGTTGCTTAGCACCTCTGTTGCTGAGGCTGGCTTTGAACCCAAGATCCTCCTGTCTATGCTCCTGAGCCCCTGGGATTACAGGCATGCGCCACCATACCCGGCATTACAGATAATTAGAGAACGCCAACTTCCTAAAGTGCTCCCCTAAGCTTAACTTTTAAAGTACAACTTAGAATCTGTAGGATGGGTAACAATAATGTGAATGGGTTAGCAGTACTAGCAAAAATCAAAAGATAGGGCTGGGGATGTGGCTCAAGCGGTAGCGCGCTCGCCTGGTATGCGCGCGGCCCGGGTTTGATCCTCAGCACCACATACCAACAAAGATGTTGTGTCCGCCGATAACTAAAAAATAAATATTAAAATTCTCTCTGTCTCTCCCTCTCTCACTCTCTCTTTAAAAAAAAAAAAATCAAAAGATAGCCTTAAATCTCATCCATTTAGGAAACAGTATTAATGATCACAAATTGACTTACTCAAAGCATACAGGTTTAAGACAGGTCTTCAAAGAACAGTGTGGCCCTTCTATTTCAGGTTCAAAAAAAAGAGCGTTTATTGGTTACCTTGCCAGAAAACCTAGATAAATAAACTTCATTTTGTAAACATTTACATAACACTTAGACAAGGCTCAGGTAGAGTTCTCAGAGGCATACATATATCCAGTCACCTATTTAGGGTGTCAACTATATTGTTATAACTTAAAATGATAGTTGTTTGTTTAGCCAGGTACAAAGTAATCATTTAATACTGGGTGTCGTGGCACACACCTGTAATCCCAGCAGTTTGGGAGCCTGAGGCAGGAGGATTTTCAGTTCAAAGCCAGCCTCAGGAATTTAGCAAGGCCCTAAGAAACTCAGCGAGACCTTGTCTCTAAATAAAATATTAAAAAGGGCTGGGAGTATTGCTCCCCGGATTCAATTCCCACTACCCCATCCAAAAAGACTTTAAGAGGTACAAACCCTAATTCCTTTAAGACTTAGTTTCCTCCAAGTAATAAAACCTAATGGATATAAGAAAATTATATTGATAGATAAAAGCAGATTAATGTTTCAGGCTTTGCTTCATACCAGTGCTTTAAAGTTCAAATAATTTTGAATGAATACTAATTATATCCATGTAATCACAAACACAGACTTTTTGAGATTTACCTTCTGCAACTTACTAAACATTCACAACTTCTTTATATTCTTAGTTCGTTCTTTTTCATCTTGGACTTTAGCACAAGAATATTACAAAAATATTTTCTCATCCAGAAACATTCCTTTTATCTTCTAATTTTCTGTACTAAAATATATTTCCATGCCTATAACTTTAAAAAAATATTTTCTAGTTTTGGATTCTTTCTTCAACTCATTCTGAAACAATCCTTTTGCATTTTATTTGTGCATTTGATTCACACACCACATATTTCATCTCAGGACAGTCTGCTACTGTGCCTTAATCTTTTTTCTCCCAGGTGGCAGTCAAAGGGTTGGAGCACAGCATATATTGGAGCCTGACCTGTCTCCCTATTATCCCATCCATCATCTCTAAGTGAGCTCCGCTGTCAGTTGCACCCAGAGGCTTCTTTGGGGCCTTTCCCTTACACTAAGCATATTGACAGGCCATTCCACCCCTTTTCTTTAGGCTTCTTGAAGGTCCCTTTGCAGAGGCTGCCAACAAAATTGGTTGGCCTTAGTTTCTGTATTTTTCTTTTCTGGGTGCAGTTATTCATTCTGCCCGTCTCCCCGGGCATTCAGTTTGGTGGGGTACTGTCACAGCAAGATTGCTTTGCCCCAGTGATGAATATTCTCTAAACAAAGAGGATCTCCTATCTGATCTGTTTTTGGGGGTGGGAGCTGGGTTCCAGGGATTGGACTCAGGGGCACTCAACCACCAAGCCCCATCCCCAGCCCTATTCTACATTTCATTCAGAGACAGGGTCTCAACTGAGTTTCTTAGCACCTCACTGTTGCTGAGGCTGGCTTTGAACTCAGATCCTCCTGCCTCAGCCTCCTGAGCCACTAGATTAGAGGCGAGCCCCACCACACCCAGCTTCTGTCCCCAGGTCCTAAGCTAACAGAGCTGGAACCTCCTGCCACATCCCTTGTGGCCAGTAGCCCCCACCCCCCAGGGCTGGGAGGTGGTCCCGGGCAGGTTCTGTCCCCCTCTCCACAGCCCTGGCTGCTGTTCTGTTTTTTTCCCAGTTTAGGGCTGGTGACCTTGACCGCACTGAGATGACCTCTGGCTGCTGGGGCCAGGCTGAGCGGGCGGTGCTGGGGGTGCAGCACTGGGTTTGAAAGACTGAAATCCCTTTAACCCATTCTTCTGGTGTCCTGCTGTCCTTGCACACAGAGCAGTGCCTTGTGGCACTTGGGCTCCCTTCCTGCGGGCTGCACCCCATCAAGGCCTGTGCAGAGTCTCTCTCCTGCTTTACTCGGAAAGACCAACCTCAGTAATCCAGAAAGACCCTTGACAGGCTGATTGTGTTACAGGGACCCTTTTTCTCTTAGAGAGGCTCATCCCTAAAGGGGGCCCATGCAGCCAAGGTCTCTGTGCTCAAGAGATTACCAGAAAGATGGAGGCAGTGGCCGCGTATTAAAGGGCCAGTAACAGGACAGAGAGGACCACTGAGACCAGGGCTGGCAGGCGGGATCCTGCGGACAGGCAGACCTGCGCACACACTTCTTCCACTCCCTTTACCTCTGAGAGACCGACCCCAACTGCAAGAGGGTACGATGATCCAGAAAGCTAACCAACAGCCGGACGTTATAGTGAAACTTTTTAGGCTTCTACCTGGAGCTGACCCTTTGTTCAGCTCACTTGATGATGGAACCGAAAGAAACAGAGACAGACTACCAGAGAGGAGCCCCCAAACCACAGCTGACGGACGGGCACCTTCGTATTGACCTGCCAAGGTCTTCCCCAAGAGGCTCCCCACAGGATGGATGCGGTTCTGGCCGTGTCTAAAAGGGCGGTTACAGAGGCAAACAGATTAGCAACCGGAGGGAATTCCCAAGACAAGGCCAACAAGCCCATGAGAACCTAGAACAGATCAGAAGGGAGCACACATCCCTAGGTCCTAGAGTCCTGCTTCACCAGGACTCCTACACGAGTGGGCCCACAGATGACCCCAGAAAGAGGGACTAGATGTGAATCAAGGGTCTCACTGTGTGCACCGGGGGACCTGCCAGATGCCAAGGCTGTCTCGACTTTCCCAAGTTTCCTCTTTCTCAAACCGGACCATGATGGAGCCACCTGTACCACTCGGGGGGAGAAGGCCGGAGTCCCCAAAGCAAAAGGAGCGTCAGGGCTGCTGGGACGTCCCTCAGTCCCTCCCTCTACTCATGGGAACAGCTCCTCTGGTTCAGCCCCAGGCAACTCTCCCTTCTAACTCTGCTGCAGCTGGCTGTCAACCGTGTGCCCCCACCTGGCGTCCTGAGCATGGGAGTGGCTTCCTGGAGAGCCAGGCTGCCCCAGAAAGCCGGAGAGGGCCACTGGGTACCAAATTTGTTACCAAAAGCTAGTCCTTGTCCCTGATGCCAATCTGATAACAAGGACACAGGTTTGAGAAAAAGGAAAAAGAAGTTTTATTGCTTTTCTAGCAAAGGAGAAACACAGGATCCTGTCCCAGGGCTGTGATTCTGCCCCTCAGCAGGAGCAGGGGCTGTTAGAGAGGTGACTCGGGCTACCTTCCACGCGCTCTCCATCCAGGGCTGCAACTCGCCTGTGAATGTGGGATAGTCCTTTCTGAGGTCTTCTGGTGCCCTCCCCACGGAGGGCGTGTGCTCAGGTAACTCTGCCTAGGGAGGGGAACAAAGGTGACCCTCTTTCCCCAGAGATTTGGGAGGAGGAGGAGGAAGAGGAGAGGAGGAGAAAGAAACTCATTTAAAAACTGCATTTAAAAACCAGTTGCAGTGGCCAAGCAGCAAGGGCCAAGTCAGAGCGCGAGGGAGACCTTGTTAGAGGGCGTGGGGCCTTGTCCTGGGCCTCACCCCAGGCGAGGCGGATTGCTGAGTCCCCCAATGCCCAGGGAAAGCCACGGGTGAGGATGCCCAAAGCACATACCGTCCCTTGGATCTTCTGGGTATAGTTCGCCCACACCTTGTCCCCTGAGGGCCCCTTCTGGAAGCCACATGGCCTGAGGGCTCATGTCACAATTCCCACATTAAGAGGCCTTTGCTGTGGCCCCTCATTTGGCCCAAACTGGGCCCCTCTGGACTGGCTGGTGTGTGCCAGCAGGGCTGCAGCGGGGTGTCCAGGGGCTGGAACTGGATGGCCCTCCTCCCCAGGATGCTTCTGCATCTGGCCACATGGAGGTGACACCCCAGCGGGTGGGAGCAGGACGTCCCACCTACTCCCCAGAGCCAACTTCTGTGGCTTTGGGTTCTGTGGGGACTCTACCTACAGGATGGTGCCTCAGCAGGACCCTGGTCTACAGGGCCATGTGGCTAGTCCCACAGCCGGGGTCCCCAGGCCAGCTGTTGGCCTCTGTGGGGGACACCTGTGTAGAGCAGGGATCTTGGGCCAGGAGAGAGAATCACCTGCCTGTAGGCACAGATGGCCCCTGAAGGGAGTGGGGTCTTTCTGCAATGTCTGGAAGAACGCGGCACAGCGCAGGCGGCCCGGGTGGAAGGGAGAGCCCAACCTCTGAACCAGGCACAGCTTTCCTGAGAGTGCAGCCTCGGCCTGTGCTGTGCTGGAGGAAGGGCAGCCGGGCTTCCTGGAGACGGCTGGCAAGGGCGGAGCCTCCAGTTACAGTGAGTGAGGAGGCCTCGCTGTTCTGACTTGAGGGCAAAATGGCCTGGGGAGCAGGGGAGGAGCCAGGCTGGGTTCTGGGGAGACACCTGAGCCTCAGCCCCTGCCACATGCTCCTTAAAGGACGTTTTACACCCATAATACAATGGGGGGGCACCAGGGATTGCCACTGAGCCCCACCCCCAGGCCTATTTTGTATTTTATTTAGAAACAGTCTCACTGAGCTGCTTAGCACCTGGCCACTGCTGAGGCTGGTTGACCTCCCCTCCTCCTCTCATCTCCTGAGCCGCTGGTTATAGGCGGGCGCCACGCTGACCTTTTTGTTTTAAACAGCTTTAGATTGAGAGGAAAATTGAGCAGAACCGGTTCCCACTTACCTGCCCTCACCTGGTTTCCCAGTTGTCAACGTCTGTTACGAAAGGGGCCAGTTACTTTCTCGGGCAGTGACCCCCCCGGGGCTGAGGGTCCCCCACCCTGCCTGTGTCCCAGGAGAAGAGGCTCAGAGCTTCAGTGTGGTCACTTGAGCAGTCAGGAGGAGGCCGCAGAGAGGCGTGTCCGGGCCTGGTCCTTCTGGGGGTGCCGAGGCGGGAGGTGGCCAGCAGTGGCGGGCTTCGCAGGCGCCTGGTCCTCCCTGTTTCCTTTCTTGTTTGGGTTCGTTTACTCTAAGATGCTTGTGGTTGGCTCAAGTTTCCCCAGGGGCAAGGCAGAGCACCCGCAGGGGCTGGTGGGGTCCCCTGGGCCGTCTGGTGCCCCTGGGTGCCCACCTGGCCCCGGGAGCCCAGAGTCACCTCTGCAGGAGGGGCAGGGGCCCTGGGGAGCTGACCCTTCTGTAAATGGTGGGTGGGGCGCACATCACTCCTCCGTCTTCCCAGGACCCCCACTGTCCTATGTCCTCCCGTGGCCTGTCATCTCCAGTGGGCGGTGACGCCCGGTACCTGTCCCGCAGGTCGCTATCACAGGGTGCTCTTCAGTGCTGACCGGGAAGTGCCCACACGCACGGCTTTGCCTGAGTTGCCCCTTTCTCTGGTGCTGGAGGTGGACCAGCCTGGAGTGTGCCGGGCACAGGCTCTGTCCCCAGCCACTCCCCGTCCCCGTCCTCTGAGCGCTCTTCCTCTGCAGCTGGTTTCCCGAGGGCTGGCTGGACTTACTGTCTGATCGTCTCTACGTGTCCCTCCTGCGGCGGATGAGAACTTTACCACATGATGACTCCTCCCTCCCGTGGCTCTGCTGGCCTCTTCTGCCCTCTGGCTTGCCTTTGTGGGGCGACCTCGCGGTGGAATCCGCGGTGTCTGTCTTCATCTGGCTTCTTTTTACTCAGGTCCACCATGTCGTAGCAGGGGTCAGAATTCCTTCCTCTTTGTGGCTGAATACTACTCCATTGCTGGATGGGCCCCATTGTGTTTTATCCCTTCATCTGTTGGTGGACTCTTGCAGCTTCCTCCCACCTGGGAGCTCTGTAAACAACATTGCTGTGCACATGGCTGTGCAAACACCTATTCCCATTTTCTGGATTGGTGCCTGGGAATCGAATTGCTGGTCCTATGGTAGTTCTGTCTAACTTCTGAGGAGCCAGAGTGTCATCTGTGGCAGCTGGAGCCTTGCTTTAGGCTCTTCTTGGTGCACTGATGTGAGTGGACTCCAAGGCCCTGAGGCGCCTGATTGGCCAGATGCCCCAGCACTGGAGCCTGAGCTGACGTCTCTCCCTTCCCTTGCAGATCCCAGCATGCCTTCAGAGACGCCCCAGGTGAAAGAGGGGTCTGCAGGGTGCCCCCACCACCTGGGGAAAGGGAGCCCAGAGAGGGGGCCTCCAGGGGACAAGGAGGCCAAGGAACATCTGTGGACCCGGCCTGACCTCCCCAGCAGGTGCACCTGGCAGCTGGGCAGGCCCAGTACGGACTCCCCGCACCACCACGCGTCTCACCTGGAGGCTCTGTGAGTGTCTGACAGCCAGATGGGTGCTCCCGTACCCTGGCGGGAGCCGCTTTTCACCTGGAAGCCACATCCGGGAGGACCTGGGGTGGGGGTGCCCTTCGTGATCATGATGGGTGACAAAGGCTGGGCTGGTGGGGAGCACTGAGCTCGGGCAGGCCGCTGCCCAGCTGAGCTGGGCACACTGAGCTGGACAAATGTGTCAGCACACCCAGGTCAGCCTGCCCAGGTCGGTGCAGGGAGTAGCTGGGGGAGGTGTCCCCGCCAGGTGTCTGGGCCTCTCGCCAGGCTCCTGTCGTGGGCCCCTTTTATGGAGTTCCAGGGCCGGTGGAGGCCTTCTTTTTGGTACTGTTGATTGAACCACGGGCACTCGGCCGCTGAGCCACACCCCAGCCCTATTTCATGTTTTGTTTAGAGACAGGGTCTCCCTGAGTTGCTTACTGCCTCGCTAAGTTGCTGAGGCTGGCTTTGAACTCACGGTCCTCGCCTGTGCCAGGCCTGGTGGGGGCTTTCCAACCCTGTGCTGGTCCGGTGTTCTCAGTGCTCTGCGGTAGGACAGCCCAGGGCTGCTTGTGTGCAAAACAGCGATCCCTGTCCCGGCAAGGCCACGCCAAGCTTGCTGTTTGAGGCTGCAGGTGACCTTAGTGCACAGTCCTCCCGATGGAGAGCGGGCTTCCAAAGTGCCTGTCCTCCCCCACCTCGCGCCGCACCAGTGGTCACAGATTGAACAGTCAGCAGGAGTGTGCGGGGGCTCAGCGGCCACAGGAAGAGCGAAATTCACTCACCTGCAGGTTCTGCAGGAGCCTCGTGCTGGCAGCCCAGGAGGCCACTCGGGCAGCTGGCCAGAGGGATGAGTCCTTGCTGCCCAGACAGCCCAGAGCAGCGGGGCCAGGCTGGGGAGGCTGGGTGTGGCTGCAGGGCCTGGGGGAGGAGGAGAGCAGGTCCCTGGCTGCTGCCTGAGCACACTGGCCTCAGGGAAGTCTTGTCCCGAAATAGCCCTGTCCCCAGTCCCCACAGTCAGGAGGGAGTTGTGGCAGAGGCCCCCGCCGGACCCAGGTCCACTAGAGGGAGACACAGTCCCTGGGGATTACTGGCAGGGAGACCCATGGGCCAGAGACAGAGCAGGCAGGTGGGGTTGGGTGCCTGGGGCCAGTTGCAGAGGTTTCCAAGATGGTGTGGGCTTATGAAGAGGGCCTGTGGGAGCCTCAGAGGAGGGCAGGCAGGTGGCCCTGGGACAGGTTGGGGTCTAAGCTACGGTCTGGGGATGCCCCGCAGCCTCCTGGCTGAAAGTACAAGCCCTTAAGATAAGGTGAATCAGGACCTCTCAGCCCCTTCACCTGCAGACTGTGGCCTGCTGAGTGAGCACCCTGTCACCTGCCCCAGGGGCCAAGCCTGGTCCTGCCCAACCAAGCACCC